TAGAATAACAAACATAATTCTGAGCAATAAAGACAATTCCCAACTTGAAATTATACTACAAAACTCAATGATGAAAACAGCATTATAGTGGCAACAAAACAGACCCTAGGCTCAACAGAACAGAATAGAAGATGTAGAAAGAACTCCAAACATACTCAGCTACCACCCAAACACCTTCATTAGAAGATAGTTCTTTAATAAATGGTGCTAAGTAAACTGACTTTCCATATGCCCCAAATAAAACCTACACCTATATCTCTAACCATGCACTAAAGTAAAATAAAAATGGATTGAAAGCCTAAATAGGGACACTAATCTTCTGGAAGATAAAATAGGCAAGATTTATGTATAAAACCCTGATGACAGAGAAAATATAACACAGAATCAATAAATGTGATCACATCATATTAAAAAGCTTTTGCACAGCACAAGAAACCACCAACAGAGTGAATGGACAACCCAGAGAATAAGCAAAATAACTTTTACCAGCTATTCCTAGACAAAGGACTGATAGCTAGAATATATAAATAACTAAAAAAAAAAAAAGCCCACACCTTTTGGGTTAGTTACTTTTCTCATTGCTGAGACAAAATACCCAACACCCAAAGGGAAAGGAGAAGTGGTTTAGTTAGCTCACAATTTGTAGAGGTTTCAGTTTGCAATTGGTTGGTTTCAAGGCAGGGTGGATGGCATACAGGCCTTGCAGTCCAAAAAAAAAAAAAAAGTTCATGGTATGCAGAAGGTAGCAAAGAGATAACAGGGTGGCCACAGCCCTTCTTGTCCCTTATACTTTACCCAGGCTGCTTAGGGCATGTAGCACTCTTCTAGTACCCTTGATCCTAGCATTGCACCATGAATTAATACAAGCACCACATACTCTAGATCCAGCCACCTCTGAAAAAGCATGAGGAATTGGGGGAACATCTAGACACAAACCACAATACCCCCCAATTTAATGATTCAATCAAAAATGGGCATTTCAGGTCTGGCCAGATAGCTCAGCAGATTAAAGCACCTGCTTAGGCAGATGCAGGGACCCGGGTTCGATCCCTGTGTGCCAGCCCCGCCCCTGGGGCACACTGAGACAGCAAAGGAGGCTAGGTATGGTGGTGCACACTTGTAATTCCAGTGCTTGAAAGGCTGAAAACAGGAGGATCACTACGAGTCCAATCTGTGTAGTGAAACGCTGTAGACCCTGTACTAAATACATTTTAAAAGATGGGCATTTCAAATGAAGACACTTCTAAAATGAAAAAGTACAAAATAAATATATGAAAAAACATTGAACATCTCACTCCAGAAAGAATGCTATCTTCAAGGAATCAACCAATAGCAAATGCTGGTGAGGTTGTGGGGAAAAAGGAATACTTTATTGTTGGTGGGGAGTATAAGATGGTACAACCTATATGAAAATTAGTATGGAGAGTTCTTCAAAAACTAAAACTAGTTTTTAGAGATTCCACTTGACCCACTATTCTCCTTCTTCACATCTACCTGAAAGTGTTAAAAGCATCATAGTACAGTGATAGATGTATACAAATATTTTTAGAAGCACTATTTTAATGGCTGAATCTTGGAAACAGCCCAGATGCCCATCAACAGATGAATGTATTAAAAAAATGTGGTTTTTATATACAATGGGGTACTACATTGTCATAAAGAAAGATGAACTTGAGATACTTTTAGGTAAATGGGTGTACTTTGAAAACATAATTTTAAGTGAAATAAATTGGATAAACATGTTTAAATATCATATTATATCTCTTGTGGGATTGACCCGAAGTGTGAATAAAGACCAAAATGGAGGATAGATATTGAGAAGTAGGAAGAAAATGTTCAAATTTTCTGGGGAAAAAAGGAGTAGGGAAGGGAAAGGGGGAAAAAAAGAAAATAGAAGGAAAAAATGGAAACAAAGTTTTTATACATGGATGGGGGAAGGAGGGTTGAAGGTGGGGAGGAGAATTGGCAAACAAAAGAAGATTCAAGATATATAATGGAGTACTTCTCAGCTATAAAGAAAGGTAAACTGAAGCTTTTATAGGTAAATGGCTGCAACTAGAAACAATACTTGTAAGGGGAATAAATCAGACTTGTATGTGTAAACATCATATTGTCACCCTAGCATAAAAAACTGGAAGAGTAAATAAGATCCAAAAAGTACAACAGATATTGTGAAAGGAAAAGAAACTGCTCAAAAGAAAAGAACAGCTGGGATGAGGGAAAGGAGAAAAGGTAGGAATATACAGTCAAGATAGCTAAGATAATTATACTGCTAATTTCTCTCAGTTCATTGAAAGGAACAGTTAATGTTTATATTATTTGATCGATCTTACGTACCTATATCTGTTAATCTGAGCAACTACTTTGAAGATAACAATATGCAATATGATAACCAGTTAATTTCCTATTATCTTGTTTTGAAATTCTACATTGTTTTTATTGATCGTTATTATCTTTATTCATCTTTTTATTTTTTTATTTTTTGTATTTTAGGGACGGGTCTACAGGGTGTTCAGGATCTCACAACTAGATCAGACTCATAGTGATCCACTTGTTTACAGCCTCCCAAGAGCTGGGATTACAGGCTTGCACCACCACACCCAGTCTCAATTACTGTCTCAGTGCACCCCAGAGGTAGGGCCAGCACGGCAGGCCTGGGGAATTGAACCCCCGGCCACTGTTCCTGCTTGCAAGCACTTTAATCCACTGAGCTATTTGGCTGGCCCTCTATTATCTTTAAAATACAAATATATATTATGAACAGGTACAAATTCCTTATAATGAATGTGAACATTACATGCACCAAAGCATACTAATAAAATCAATTTCAAAATATTCCTTCAGAAACTCAATTTATTTTCTAGATTCTATCTATCAAAGATCAACACATAATGTTTGTTTGAATCATGGGAAGAAAAACAAAGAGCAAAAAATTGCAAAGGAAAATTCAGTCCTCTAAATATTGTCCTGTTTGTTATCACACATAGATTGATGCTAAATTGGCCAACAGAAAGCAGTTATCCTACAGACATTTTATCAGTAAAATCTTAATGCCTCTATCACTCAGTGTTTATTAGAAATTGTGTTTAAATAAGTAATGTTCATGAGATATTTGAAATACACATAGACATTTCAGACTTTATACAATATATTCCTGATCAAGCCACGTAAGCAGGGAATCTAAGAATCTAGATTGCATATTTCAGTTCCTTTAGGAATGGCTTTTTCTGAATTACAATCAGGATTAATATCATTTGCCTACACTTATCGGGTTATAAGAAACTCTGAGACAGTCTCTGATCCATTTATTACTTAAAAAAAGATGTTTAGTTATCACATAGGGTCCCTTTAATGAATACCTACAGGTTGGTTGCACTTTGAATTTCAAATTGATATACTTTTTCTTGGTACCAATTTTAATTTATCTTTAAAATATTGTTGGGCTAGGGATATAGCTCAGTGGCATAAGCACCTGCCTTGGTAAGTGCAAGGTCCCCAAACCATAAAAAAAAAAAAAGAAAAAAGAAAAGAAAAGAAAGAAAGGAAGAAAGAAAAGAAAAGAAAAAATTGTGTATTAGGACATTTTTCCCCCCACATTTACTGCCAGGAAGCTTAGATTTAAACTTGTATACATCGTACAACAAATTTTTAGGTCACTATGGCTAAATTTTATAATTTCATTCAGTATTCTCTCATTTTTGCCCCTAGATATTTTCCCTTCCTTCCTTCCTTCCTTCCTTCCTTCCTTCCTTCCTTCCTTCCTTTCTTTCTTTCTTTCTTTCTTTCTTTCTTTCTTTCTTTCTTTCTTTCTTTCTTTCTTTCTTTCTTTCTTTCTTTCATCTTCTTGAGACAGGGTACTGTGCAGTTCAAAAAGGCCTTGAGCTCACTTTGTAGCCCAAGCTGGCCTTGAACTCACACCAACCCTCCTCCCTCAGCCTCCCAAGTGCTAGGATTGCCAGTGTGTGCCACCACACCCAGCTTTTGTTCCTATTCTTGCGTTCTTTTTGGGACATATGGTCATAAATCAATATATTCATAAACAAATATACTTCAGTACAATATGTATCTATTTTCAACTCCATGTGTATCCTGGCACACAAGTGTTTTCCTAATATTTATCCTTAGAAATACTTTTCAATATAAACTTTTCACTGTTTTAATTTCAATTTTTATTTATTTATTTTTGAGACAAGATCTTGCTATGCATATCAGGCTAGTCTATTTATTTATTTATTTATTTATTTATTTATTTTTTCAGGCTAGTCTTAAACTCTCTATGTAGCCCAGGCTGGTCTTGAACTCTTAGCAACCTTTCTGTCTCAACTTCCCCAAGTACAGGGATTATAGGTGTGTGCCACCACCCCCACCTTAAATCCTTTTTAAGACCCAGAAAAATAAAAAAAACAGACTTCTTCCCTTTTATTTATTTATTTGTTTGTTTGGTACAGGATCTCGTTAAGCAGCTCAGACTCAGTGATCCTCCTGTCTCAGCCTCCAGCTCTGGGATTATAGGTGCATGCCACCACACCCAATTTCAATGGCCTGCAAGGTATGCCCTGGGGCCTGCACAACATGTGGTACTGGGGTTTGAACTGGAACCTGGGTCCTTGAGCTATCTCCCCAACCCCAGACTTTCTATTCTTAGCAACTCTTTTACATAGGAAAACACCAACAGGGAGAAAACAAAGCACCTTTAAGTTCCCACTGTCTTAATAATGGGAAGGTATGGTCTATAGGCTGGTGCCAGTCTCTAACAACAAAGACATAAAAATTGAGAATAATACCTAGCAAATTTATAGAAGTCTGAGGAAGTATCTAATAATAAGTTAAGTTAAATCTAATAATATTAAATGTGGATTGTATTTTCTATGCCCCATAATCCATTTTCACTGCGCATCCATTCACAGCATATTAGAAATTTAAAACATCACCATCAACAACAACCTAAAAATTAGTTTTTCATAAGAAGTACTGCAAAAAGCAGTGCTTAAGAGTCTTACCTTCCCATGGTCACAATGTAGGAAAAGTTCCACAAACATCTGTCTCTGCATATCAATTTTTACGATCTCCCGGAATTCATCTGCACAGTGGCAAAGGTGCTTAAGGAGTTCCTCAAAAGTTTCACTTTTAAGGTCTTCAACCCATGAAGAGATGTACTGCGGGGGTTGGGGGGGGGATGAATAAATAATGAATTAAAACTATTCTTTTTTTCCTTCAGGACTGGGGGTTAAACTCAGAAGTGCTCTACCACTGAGCTACAAGTTCTGTTATACCTCCTCCATGCCACCCTTTTTCATGAAACAGATTCTCACTTTGTTGCTCACACAGACCTCAGACTTTTAGTCCTTCTGGCTCAACCTCCTGAGTAACTAGAACTTCTGTCTGTCTGTCTGTCTGTCTGTCTTTCTTCTTTCTGAGACAGGACCTTGCTATGCAGAAAATTGTAAAGGAAAAAAAATAAATAAATTAAGCCCTCTCACTTGAAGTCAACTTAAAAATCATTCATTTTGGAAGTCACATAACTGGGCAATACCTGACTAGTTTCCCACTAGCTTTGCTATAGATAGCACCTCTGATGTGTGGGTTATGATAGTGTACCTTGGTTACTTCCTAGGGGCCTGAAGTCCATGTTTGCTAAAACACTGACTTAATTTGAGCCTTCAGATGTCTAATGGGAGACTAAAATGGAGTAAAAGGCATGACAACTTTGTCTTCATATTGTCTATTCCCTTTGCTATCTTAACTCTGGGGTCAGATTCTACTCAGCTCTGCACATGGACATTTTGATTATTCAAAAATGTTCAGCCTAAAAGACCATAATACAGTGTTAACTTGGCCTATTGCCTGCTGGAGTATATGTTTTCATTTTCTTTTCTCTTTTCTGTCCCCATCCTTGTCCTTCTTACTATTAAAGCACAAGAACCTCAAGGCTTTTGGGTGCTATTGCAGAAACCAGACCCACAAAGCCAGGATGTTTTGTGAAGAATGAAAGTGACAGATACATGAACATTCAACAGCCACTGGGATAAGTTGACCATAACCACCTGGTGGTCTGAGTCCATCACAAGAAGAAACATCCTTTAGAAAACTATGCTCCAGAACAATTAGCATTGCTAGACCTCAGCCTACTCCAACCAATCAATAAAATCTTGCTGCTTTCTTTGTTCTGGGAACAGCAGTTTGATCACTCAATTAATCAACTGCTCAAAGTGCATGGGGCCAAGAGTATCATAGTGCTTACGTAGCTGCTTGATCTTGGGCTTCATACCTTGCCTCATGACTAATTATTGTACACCAAATTTATAGAGGTCTCAGATACAAGAAACACCAATAGCATTCCAGAAGATCCCTCTTGGTCTGCTATCTAATTGGGGAAAATGCAAACTGAAATAACCTAAATTAAAAGGAATTATCTTCTTTTATAATACTGCTTGGCCTCAGTATGTGGTTGATAACTAAGACAAATGGACTCTTGAAAGCCTCAATTTCTCTTCTCTCTTTCTTTCTTTCTTTCTTTCTTTCTTTCTTTCTTTCTTTCTTTCTTTCTTTCTTTCTTTCTTTCTTTCTTCCTTCCTTCCTTCCTTCCTTCCTTTCTTTTTCTTTCTTTCTTTCTTTCCTTTTTTTTCTTTTGTGGCCAGCTCAGCCCACCCTGGGGGTGGGGCTAGCGTGGCATGTGGTGCTGGGGATTAAACAATGGTCCCTGAGCTCTTGCCTAAGTTTGTGTAAGCAGATGCTTTAGACCACTGAGCTATCTTGCTGGCAACTCCCTCAACTTCAACACCATTTTAAAGCTAGATCTCTATAGACAAGAAAAATGGGAAGAAGTCCTTTATGAAGTATGAATCTTTATAATCCTTTATCAACACAATTAACCCCTGATATCATGAAAAAAAAATCACAAAAATTGGAATGGGTAGATCAATCCCTTTTGGTCAGTGTGGTTAATGAGATTTTCAAGGTATTTAGCAGTAGAGACAGGGCATGAGATACCAATCAGAATAAATAACCAGCCAACAAGACCTAGTTTTTGGCTTTCTTGGTCCAGCCCCATTGAGATGAACCTAAGAGAAAACTTCCCCCAGAAGTTTGAGACCTGCTGGAGACAGCTCCTAAAGATTCAATCTGTGTGCCTTCTGTTCCAAGGAAGGTCACTGGCATGCCAGTGACAACTAAGAGGTAACCCAAGCCAATTAACTGTGGGACCCATGGGAAGATGATTCTTGCCATGGAATGATGGGGCCCAAATGCCCACAAGGTTTATCTCCAACATGACAGAAGCTGCAAAAAGCTCAAGCCCTTAAAATCCTTTAGCACTGTCATGGGAACATTCACAACGTTGGGCTGTTTTGCTCGTGATCCCTCCTGAATAGCAAACTACTAGAAGTGAGATTGGTTGGTTTAGAAAGCACATACATCTGTATTTTTTAATTATTAATTTTACATGGAAGTCATACCTTTTGGCACACACACCACTGATGTATGAGTGGCAATTTTCCCATAAGGGTGTACTGCTGTCTGAATTTTTGTCAGTTTGCTAGGTCAGAAACATTACATTCTTGATCTAATACTTTTAATTTTAGGAAAAACAGAAAGTATACTAGGTAGAAAGAAATAATCAAGCTTGGAATTTCTGAGTAGATGCCTCATGAAGTATTAGCCCAGTTCACAATGATTTTTTCCCCCTGCTCCAAGCACAGAATTAGCCAAATTTATATGACTCTACCTTCAGAGCTATAAATGATTGGACCAAAAGAGGATATTTAACTAAGCAAGGTCATTCAGACTCTCTCCAATATGAATTGAGGATTAGGATTCAGGGATGGCTAGTTGATCTCTAAGTGAAGCTGGATTTTTAAATATGTAGGAGATAAATATCTTTACCCTTTTAGCGTATTCAGGGGGACCTGAGAATTAAGTTGACATAAGATAGACAGTAGGAAGAAAGCATAAATCACAAAAGTCTAATCTAAGTTTTGTATGACTTGAGTCCCCTAAAGAAGTGGCAAAATCTACGTGTTTTTATGCTAGGCTGAACAGAGAGGCAATTTTGGAAAAGTAACTAAATTATGTATGGAGGCTAAAAGGAAGACAAAATTATTGTAACAAAGTCTATTTGTACAGAAGTCTCTTAGCTAAGATTCCTCATTGAAGACTTCCCTTGTTTCTAGTGTGGGGAAGTCATCTTCCACATATGAGTCTTTACCTCTTATTTCCAAGAATAAAAGGAAAATTAGACTTTTTTTTCCTATTTTGTTTAAAGTGCCTTTGCCTTAGAGTAACCCACATTCCAAGGGGGAGGTAAATTCTGTTATTGTTTGTTTGCTGATAGTCTTGCTATGTTGTTAGGTTGCCCTTGTACCCTCAATCCTCTAACCTCAGCCTTCCAAGTAGTGGGGATTCCAGGTGTCATTATACTCAGTTTGGCTACCACCCTTCATATGTAAATTTTAGAGTTACTGGGTGTTCAGATTGCTTCTTGTGAAGTGAGGATGCAAAGAAGGTCTGGAGAGGGAAGTGAGAGGAGGGAGAGAGTAAAAGAGGATGCACAGAGGAAAGAGAGAGAGAGAGAAATATGATCAACATATGCTATATCTCTACCAATTACTCAAAATAAATGCAACATTAGTGTATTGCAAACATACATCAATAAAAATGAAAGTTAAAAAGACCTCAATTTAACATACAGTGATAAATAAAACACAAAAAAGACTAAAACAATTTTACCCCTACTGATAAAGCATAACTTAGGTAATGTTATGGGCCAAGGTACATTCTCCAAAATTTCATATATTGAAGGTATAACCCTTAGTTCTTCAGACTGCTAAAAAAGAAAATTATAATGAGGTCACTGGGATAGGCCCTATTATGATTAATGTCCTTATAAGCGAAGACAATTTCAATATGTACAGAGGGAAGATTATGTAAAGATACAGGGAAAATACAGCCATCTGTAAACAAAGGAGAAAGACCTTCAATAGAAACCAATCCAGCTGGCACCTTGTCTGTAGAACGATGGAAAATTAAATTTCTGCTGTCTAAGCAACCCACTCTGTGGGACTTTGCTATGTTAGCACTAGTAAAGTAATACAGATAGTAAGGAATTGCTAATCAGGCAAGGCCTAGATTTATGTTTGTTATAGTTGAACACCTCCTAGGAAGACACACATCCACCTGGCAAATAGTTCACTCAATTTCTTCCTATTTCAAAGCATAGAATCCCCTTATTTTCTCCTCAAGGTTTCCTCATTTATTTTCACAGCAAATTGCTGCCTTTAACAACCCCCAAAACTGCTATTCTTTCTTGTGTTCATCCCTGACACAGCTCAAAACACAAGAACAACAAAATGAGCAAAACAAAACAGGGTAAAATGAAGACAAGCTAGAGATAGAGTAGAAAGCAATTTAGATAAATACTTCTGTGAAGAAAATGCACAATCTGTATTTAGTAGAATATACTAAAAGAAAGACACAGCTTCCACCATAGCAACCATTGAAGAACAGTAGCCATGGCCATCCACTATCCCATGGCTGTGGGCCTCCATAAGGGCCACAAGGTGACTAAGAATGGGAGCAAACTGAGGCACAGCCTCGGTTTTTGGTGAGTGGATGCCTCACCAAACACACCAAGTTTGTGTGGGACATGATCCAGGAGGTGTGCAGCTTCGCCCCCTATGAGCAGCACACCATGGAGCTGCTCAAGGTCTCCAAGGACAAACGTGCCCTCAAGTTCATCAAGAAAAGGGTAGGGACACACATCCACACCAAGAGGAAACGTAAGGAGCTGAGCACCATGCTAGCTGCCATGAGGAAGACAGCTGCCAAGAAGGACTGAGCCCCTCCGGAATAAAGCTTTGCAGGAAAAAAAAAAAAAGAAGAAAAGAAAGACACAATCTTAGAAGGACCTAACAGATAGGAAAAGTAAATCTAATTAGTCATATAAATAATTGGTTTCCTTGATATAGATAGCCCCAAAAGAATAGAAGATGTGTTCCAAGGTATAATATTAAAAAAGTCTCTGAACTTAAAAACAAAACAAAACCACTTTTTTAAAGTCAGAGTCTCCTGTGTAGTTCAGGGTGGCCAAGAACTCATGATGTAGCCCAGGCTGACCTCAAACTTACAGCTATCCTGCTATATTAGTGTCCCAAGTGCTGGT